GAAAAATTGTACTGTTTCCTACAGGGTTTGTTTAATCCACCTGATTTGACTCCTTCGGAGGACTGTTGTAATAATTTAGAAAAATCGTAAAACTTGACCTTCTCAAAAAGCATGGGTCGCAAATTTTGGTAATTTTTCTGGAGCTTATCGAATAGTCTGCAATGCACTTAACGACATTAGAAAGAAAATGAAATGCTGCATCGAATGCTACCTAGGTCTTCTAAAAATCTTGCTTTCTCGAAATGTAGCGTTCACTTGAAAAAAGCGACATTACTTTCGGAAAGACTTGATAGCGGAAAACCAGAAATGAAGCCGTTCTCAGTTTGAATCGAACACGTACAAGTGTAAGGGTGTAACACGTGTAAGCCTGTATCAAGATTGTTAATAGAGTATAATTCTTTTCCTCCAACTACAAGGCGGCCGAAAAGTATGGGCGTCACATTTTCACGTCACCGGCCACCCCTAGTTTCAGCTTGATGCATTTGATTCAGACTAAAACGTGTTTATTTTTGTTTTTGGGGCCCTTGAAATTTAGAATTTGATGTGCTCTCGAAAAAAGCATAAATTTACCCTACATCGCTATCAAAAATCAAACTGTCTGCACACATTTGTAGCCACATGTAGTCACTTCTAAAGATTGTCATCTCGAATAAATCTCTAGAAACCTTTCCCATGGCATTAGACGTCAAGCAGTTTTTTACAACATCCGTAGCCAAGGCTATAGGAAGTGAGTCGCCCACTCTGGTGAAGTCATTGCTGGCCCGAAGAAAAGGACAATGTTGCTAATGTCACTCTGATTTTCGGAGTACTTAAGTATAAGAAGTCAAAAACTGGCATTCCACGGGAGCAGAGCCATTATGGCAAATTATAAAAAGCGCTTGGAACGTATGCATTTGATGGGAATCTAAAATCAGAGGGCTCAAAATTGAGGGGTAAGATTCTGCAGGAACCTCAAACTTCACCCTCTCACTATGTTATGCACCTCCTGTTGTAAAGTAGAACATGCAGTCGCTGTCTACTCTTGATACAAAACTTAGACCACGTTTTAAAAAGGCAAATCCCTTTCCGAGAAAAAGTTTTGCTCCACTTACAAATATTTTCTAATAGATTGACACATAAGTTTTGCAACCAATGTAGTGACTTTTCTCTTTTTGCACGTGACACATTCATTTTTGGGTATAGTGTAAATTAGGTAGTAGGCTACAAACGTGTGTACTGAGGTTTGATTTTTGATAGCGAGGTAGAGTAAATTTACGCAATTTTCGCACTATTCGCACATTCGTGCTTACTACCTAACCTACACCATACCCAAAAATGAATGTGGTCACACGCAGAGAGAAAGAGTAAAGTTACAAAATCAGTTGCAAAACTGATGTCCCAACCTAACATATGCAACCTGCTGTCCACTAGTAACATTTCTGTATCTACTTCAGAAAGAACGAAAACTATCTTTCAAAATAATAAATCTGGAGATTTCTTTTCTATTTAGGATAACAAAGTTATAAAAACCCTCTATAGCGAACAGCAAACTGTGCATGGAGCAAACATATGAGATTTATGTGTTTCCAGCATTCATAGTAAATCATGCGAAGAAAGTAGTAAGCAAAGTGTTTACAATTTTTGATCAGAAATGTACATATCGTCGAATCTTGCTAAAGAAGTTTGTGTTTGTTTTTGCTATGGGGCATACTGAAGATGAAGGAATGTAGAACCATCACTGGAGTCGTATAGGCAATTTGTCATTTAAAGCTTGAAAATCGTCTGTTTTCGGCAGAACACTGACTGTAAGAATGCTAGTAAGTGCTGCTACCGTTCAAACTATATGTCGTTTTTGTCTCTTAAGCCCTTGAGAGAGGCACAAAATGAGAAAGAGAAATGCGGCAAAAAAGACGGCATTTGTAGCTTACATCATTATCTTTATAATTGAATGCGCAACAATTAGAAAGACAATAGTTAGCCAACCTAAGAGTAACAGATCTGCGTGGCTCAGAGCCATGATTTATGGGTTTTGGACCTTTTTTGCTCCCCTCTAATCCAGCACACCCTGCCTCGTTCTTTCTCAGTACTTCCCTATAAACAGTTTTTACGACAAAGAAAGTGTCAGACCATAGAGTCCAGGCATTAAAGGTAACGCTTGTGTAAATGCTCTGGACATGTTTTTATCCATACTAAGTGGCCACAATGGGGGCATTCCCTCAGTTACGGCTATTACTAGGACATGTCCAATTTGAGATAATCGTCTGACCACTTGGCTCAGCACCTGCCAGCTTGATTGCGTCAAATTCGATGTCGATACTAATCTTGCGCACAAAGTCGTTTTCGGTTGGACAAGTCAGAAATTTCGTGATTTTTATAATTTTCCTATTTCTGCAAGCTCATCTTTCTCAGAATGTGTAACTTACACAAGTCAAATCCTTTCTGCCAAAAATGTTTTAGCTACGTCTGCGAGCTTATCCGACTGCGCCAGGTCGCTATAGCAACATGGGAACACTCACCAAATTGATTCTGTTGGCGATTTCTTGGTTCTCGTATTTGGTTTGCAACATGCATTGTTTGTGCACTTTCTTGCTATGTTTACACATCGCCTCGCAAATTACTACTATTACTATTGGGTAGTGTCTGCCTGGATCCAACTCTTTTTCGGAACAAATTTGAGAAATTTGACCTTTGTGGGACGAATAGTTGTATTGGGATCTTATGAGCCAAGAACAGGGTGACACAAAATACTACTTTGTTGCAAGAATAATAAAAAAAAAGAGCGACAGATCTCATTGTTGAAAGTAAAATTTCAATAGAAGGAGGCTTCATGGCTAATATTAGCACACCCTTCTACTTTTGCATATACTTTGAAGTTTTTTCTCCAATTTTCTTACTGAAATGCTGATTAGACGTTTTTTTCAGAAGTTCCTCGTGTTTTAAAAAACTCTTGCAGCTAGTTTTCTTTAATCTATACACGATCTGCTCTGTATACATGTGAAAAGCTACAAAATTTGTGGATAGTAGATAGACGTAGTTCGCTAATTTATGCATGTTATTTGTGTAACATTGCATTGAAATACTACTCCCAGTCGGAGACATAATGCACGTAGTATTTGCTTCTGTGCTTTTCACACTCCTAAACACGAGTGAATGGGCGGGACTGACACTCCAGTGGGTAGGACTTTCCGCCCACTTAACAGACTTACGATTGAGTTGAGTTCCAGACTTTCTTCTGAAAATGTTTCTTAACGTGGTGGATTCGGTTCGCTTTTTGCGCATTTCTGTATGCAAGTTATTGCTTCAAAGTGGATTCTCTGAGCAAAGCTGCCCCTGAATGATCTTACCATTACACAAACCTTAAATCCTCAATTCCTCCACCCGAAATTTCTGACGCAGCCGTATACTCAATATTTTTATTACTCAAATGTTCTTAAGGATATAGTGTTCTAAAAGGTCAAACGGAAATTGGATTAGCGCCTTAAAGCTCTGAATGTCTGAATGCACTTTAGAAGCATATAAACAAGTCACCCAAAAGCTCAACTTCATAAGTTGCTAGACTGGCAAAATTTCCTAGTAGTATTGCAATTACTGCTTGAAGTACTGTAGTTTTTTGTGTGTGAGTACACCCGCTTTTCGAGTCACATAGCTGCGAGAAAATTGTCTACGAGTTTAACGAGAATGATTGAATGAGCTTTTCCATTAGTTTGGTAAGAATTTTTTTAATTGAAACCTCACGTTTTTGCTCCCGTGCAAATACAAAGCATCCGGAACATGTTTTGTACCGTTTATTAGACAAGAAAAGCACTTCTGAAGGACGTCGAGCTCACGTATAATAAACAATTCACATGAAACTCAGAGTCAAATGTTAAAGACCAGCAGCTGGTGCAAAAATGGTAGGTAGACACCAGTGGCGTATTCTCGGGGGGGGGGGGGGGGGGGCACGCCCCCCCCCCCCCGAGAATGGGTCGCGAAATTTTTGAAAGTTACTTATATGGGTTATAAAAATGTGCAAGTGACTTGTTTATTTTTGTAAATAATCAAAATAATTTTTAAAAACTTTTAAAAATTCAAATCAGCCTTGTAAAAAAAAATTTTTCGGGGGCGTGGCTGACGCCACGCCCCCTTTTTCCAGATTTTAGGAGTCGGGGACCCGCAAAAGTTTTTAGAACCACCCCAAAAATTTTTTCGGAGTGCGTGGCTAACGCCACGCACATTCTTTAGAAAAAAAATTTTGTCGCGCCCCCCGAGCCGAAATCCTGCGTACGCCACTGGTAGACACCTATGCACCTACATAACAGTGGCGGTCCTACTATTCCCTTTCGGGGAGGAGGGGGGGGGGGTGAGTGGCGCTAGCCTGCCACTCCGAATAGTGCTTTGAGATGCTTCTCGAAATGACTTTTGAAAATCAAAAAATCATTTTAACTAACCACAAGTAAAAACAAGTCACTAGCACATTTTCACGACTCATGCGAGCAACTCTCAAGATTGCTTGCAACCCATCGTCTCCCCCCCCCCCCCTGCTTAATGGCTGTATGAAGTTACCACTTGCTGGGTTTGACGGGTTTTGCTCGAGAATTGAACGAAATATTCACGAATTTGGTATCAACTGCACCGTTTTGGGTTTTTGATCTTCAAAATTTTTCTATTGAAGTTCTGCAATCAACATTCGTACAAAAAGGAAAGGAGACAGATATGGAGAGACTGCAAATCATTGGCTTGGCATATCTTTTAGGGTTCGACAATGCTACTGTTTTGCATTGAAATCATATTTCTTGAAGATAATCGTCGACCTTACTACATTTTATCTAAATTTTTTTATTATAAGTTTCTCGCAGCAATTTCGTTTTCTTAGCTTACAAAAAGACAGAGAAAAGATTCGCTTGCGTGTCATGTATTATGCAATATTTAACCTCTTTCAACATTTGTGTTTTTATCTTGATTGCCATTGTCTCAGTTGTCTGCGTATGCCGTTTCTTATAAGTAAATAGATTCTTATATTTTCCGTAACTGAAAAATTTCAGGTATTCAACCCGGCGGTCGCTGTAATTTCAATATGCAAAGAGAGAAAACTGTTCTCAGACGATTTCACGTATGTTCTTCAGCACAGATAGTCCCCGTTATTCACCATAACTCTAACAAATTGTTTTACAGGTGACTTCTTCAAGTCTGGACTCGTTTCTGACTCAGTTATGCTTTCTGCGAAAGTTTAAGGAGAAGATCAAGACGAAACACGTTGTGGTGGGTAATATCTGAAGCAACATTACCTTTTTCTGAGATTTAAATTCACTGCATGGTGAATTTTTGAAAAATTGGCTTAGTACCTATGATAACCTCACATTTTGTGGAGATATGTAAAGCTAGTAAGGAAAGCATTTAATTCATGAACTCATTTTCAACCTGAAAACCTCTATTGAGAACACATTCACCCTGTTTTCATAGAAAACATATAATTATGCAAGTTTCAAATTTGGTGAGCTCAGAATAGCCTAGTCCCCCACAATGGTCTGCCAATCAACTGGTTATGGTTTTGAGGTCCTTGGATAGCTAGAGAACGATATTAATGCATTATCGCCATGCACTTACCTGTCCTATTCCCCTTAAATTTTCCGATTCAATTTATTTCAAAATTTTGGCGTTTATGTACTGTCTTTTACTTTCACTCTATGTGAGTCCATGTTGTTCCAAAAGGAAAACTTCTACTTAAAGTTTTCTTTCTATTTATCATCGCCTCCATAATTTCCGGGGCGGTCATGATCTTCAACCGATAATCAATTTATCACGCATGCCCTCGCAGCCGAGGTTACTTCTTTTCTTTTTCTTCTTCTAACCTCTCTTTGAACATCACTATTGTTTTTTCCTTTTTGCATTATACCTACTAAAATTTTTTTCTTCTAGAACAACAACATCATGGAAGCTGGCGCCGAATCGGACTTGTCAGGTGAGATTTGCAAAATTCATATATAACTGTTCAAATTCCAATTTTCAGGATCAAGTGTCGATGTGCTGAATACTTCACTTACGTCAACGCCAATGAATGCTGCACTTACATCTACTCCACTGGCACCAAAAAACGTGGTTAGCTTTTTTTCTTAGAAATCTCGCAGAAAATATCACCATTAACTTTTTCTTACTTAGCCTGCTGACATCTCACCAATACTCCCATCAACAATGCAGTCGGAAAGCGAAGTACCGAATTGTTTGCCAAAAACTGCAATTCGTTTTTTTTTTGATTTTTTTGGAAAGAAAAACTACTGTAGTTTTTTATTTATTTATTTATTTGTCTATATTTATTTATTGATTTATTGATTCATATTTACTATCTTTAGTTTTTTTATTTTAGCCTGTTGAAATCTCGCCAATATTACCGTCGCCGATGCTACCAGAAAGGGAACCATTATCTCTGTCACCCTCGATCAATTCACGTCTGTTTCAATTTTCTGCAAATTTTCGTCTTTATGAGATCGCTCATTTACAGCAAATGATCCCAATGATTCACTAGATGGTCGAGATGGAAGAATGCTTATTGGCGGATTACCGATTCCGCATTTGCGCTTACCACTCCTTGATCTCTCTCCAATTTACGACAGCGTTTTTCTGAGCAAAACATCGTCTGACAAATCAGGTAAAAATTTTATCTTACCCTATCACTGGAGGGAGTAGAGTTGCTTTTCAGCGTCTATGAGAGAAGGACTCCCTCCATCTCCCAGGGATACCCCAAGAACACCTGGATCCCGAAGTTTTTCACCGCGAAACCGCTCAATCTTCTCTCCGTATGTTTTACATTCATTATCTATAAAAAAGCCCTTGTTTAGTACATAATAAGGAAGCTAGGGTCGAGATAAGATGAATGTGGATCAACATTCTGAAAACTTGAATTACGATTGTGTAAGGGAACGGGAGAGATGTAAGATGGGAGGCGATTTTCAAAATAAATCCATCTTACCAAATATCAACCAAACTCGAATTTATAAAATATACAGGATGTCCTAAAAAAGTTTATTGAACATTTGATCGTTGATGATTCTCTTCTGTGAACGGTTTTCAAGAATGTTTGGATGTATTTTATCGTAAGGCTGGCTTCAGCTATTTACAATAGAAAATAACTCAAATTTCCATCACTCTGGAATTATGATAGTACTTTGAAGGAATTTTGCGCTTATAACCATCAAAAATCTGATTATACCAATTGAAATGCGCTATAAACGTGCGCAAAGTCATTTACTTTAGAAAAAGGGGCCCAGAAACGCCACCGCACTGTTTTCAGATGTTTTGAAAATATCTTGAAGATTTACAATAACGACATTTGAAAATATCTTGAAGATTTACAATAACGACAATGTGCTAGAAGTTCTTACCGTAATCTTACAGTAATATAAAGATATGGGTGATATTGACTAATGAAGCCATCCATGCAATGCGCTACCAAAAATCTGATGAAAGTGTTCATACAAGAGAGTTAATAACTATTAGAGATCGATAATATTTTTGATACACCTTGTATAATTATTAAACCACTTAGGAGATCGACTTCGAAAAGTTCAGGTAGCCGTTTCGGTCTGCCTATTATTTTTCTCGTTTTATTTAATATACGTACTATTGTATCGTATGTGTTCGTAACTTTATTCTCTGCGATTCAAAACCTTGGGAAAAATGCGAAAATTTCACTTTTCTATATAAACATCCTCTCAAATAAAAAGCAAAATCAGAAACTTTTGGACTTTCATGCATTTTCAAAACTAATTTCGAATAAAAATGGAGTGTTTGTCCTTACCCGCTTTTATAGTCATGATTTAATAACAAAAATTCTCGCTTCAAGCACTACAAGAGGTTCGTAAACTCCTTCTTCCAATCCATTCTATATCAAAAATATTCGCAGAATTTGGAAGAATTCATGCAGTTCAAAACTTTCACAAGCTTTATGTCTCGGCCCTACATAAAAGCACTGTCAGTGCTGCAAGAACCTTTATATTCTTGAATTCTTTGGTTTTTGCGCTAGAAATCGTAATCACATTGAGCGAATGACGCTCTGAAATTTTTTTGCCTGGAAAAGTATTCTCATAATTTGAACTTTACTATTCTGCTCCTGTTATAGTTAAAATTCTCTGTTCACTGTAACGAAGCAAGTTTCATCCAATTTCATCCTGACCAATGTAGAAACTTTTTCTTCTAAACAAGTTACATCGATTCTATTAGTTTCTCATTGTTTTTAACCTTATAGGGAGTCCTCACCAAGATCGTTGCGTTCTCCTGGCACTGATGGCAGTGGTGTACTACTTCAAGTTAGTTTCTGTCACATTATTTCCTAGTATTATATCTAAATCATGTGTATTTTGTGTTGACATAACGCCTTAACAATTTCTGTAAGCTTCAAGGTTCAAAAATGTCATGCATATTATTTTTGGGAGCTTCTTCTTCTTGCGAAACTCATTGCTTTGTAAAATATGCAAATTGCTGTGCTAAAATGGGAATTTACAGATTTTGGGTGTTTTCTTTTACTTCGGAAAAAAATGGCTTCAAACCACATTCTTCCATAATATCTCATTCTTATACAAACGTAGAAATATCAAATTTTACACGCAATGGTCACATCTTTGACAGAAGAAGCTTATTAGATGTAAATGATAGATTATCTCAAAAATTTTGCTGTTTTTTTTTCGATCACTAAAATTCACGGAGCACTGATCCACTTATGAACAAAGCATGGTTCGATTCAGATTTTCACTCCCTATCTAATACTACATTTGCTCTCTGATCTCAGTCTTTGCGAAGTTATTACCATTTTTCAAGCAGTCCAAGAGTGACGCTAAATTCTTTAAGTTTTAAAGAATTTCATTTCAATATTTTCAAAAAGAGCTTTTAGTTGTTATGTAGAGTGAACCAACAATTCTCATCCCAAAGTTGAGCGCGCATCCACAAAATGGAAGTGTTCTTCAATTTATACGCATAAACATGCCAATTGGAGAACTCATAAACCTGAAAACTGGTGAAGAACTTCGATTAAAAAGCTTTGAGCAACTTACTAATTTTACTAACTACTTTTAACTTTAAAATAGTTGAGTATCTCTTTCCAGGTCAATTTCATCACTTTACCTGCTTTGTGATAAGCAAGGAAATAAAAAGGGGTCGACAGAATGAATTAGGCAATGGAAACTATTGAAAGTAATCACAGCACGAAAAATGCGTTATTTATCACAACAATCACTTTGTGTTCCTTTTAGATTTTTTAGAGAATGAAATAACGGGCAATAAGAGCATTTTGAGAAGTAATTTGATGTGCGCAAGAAATATTCGCTATATTTCAAGTTTTCCCGTTTCATCGATATCGTAATAGTTGCGCGTGATGGAGAACAACGATCTGCTTCAATAGCACCTGAATAACTCAGAGATTAGACACATATGAGTGGGAATAAAGCATGCTTGAACTTTATTGCATACTTGCTCATTTTATTTTGCTCATTTAGTTCAGTAATTTTCTTGAGTATCTACAAAAACAAGTAGTAGCATTAGAGGGTAAATTGGAATGAAAACAATTGGTAAATCTTACTAAGTTTGTCCGGAAAGTTTTGTCATTTTTTATCGGTTACTAAAATTCATAGAAAACGACTTAGGTACTGTTCAAATTAGATATTAATGCTCTTACATAGCTACGTTTTCCCAATGATCCATGCAGTGTATGCGATGTTATAGTTAGGACTCTTTGAGCAATTCAGCAGTGACGACAAATTTTCCGAATCCTCAAAGAACTTCAATAGTAATATTCTGAGAAAGCGTTGCCAACTACTACTCAGGGTAGCTTTGGCTACATTATACTCGGTAACATAGATCAAATGTTCACTTATGTGATAATCAATTATTTGGGAAAAACTCCATCTTTTTGAGCACCCTTAGCGCATAAGAGTACTGAAAAAACGCTGATTCTTCCAAGCAAATAAAAGTTGATTATTTTGCAGGGTTGTTATTTGATAGCGATCAAACTTCGAAAACTGCGAAATCTTTCATGTTTTGCTGCAGTTATGTGTTTCATGCTTCTCTTGAGTTCCAAACGGCAAATTCAAAAAATCTAGAAGCACTACTATATAATTCAAAATTCGCTCCGTTTGCACCATGCCTACGCTTCTCCAAAGCTCTGAAGTAGAATTTTCAAAAAATTAGCCGAAGTTTGAGCAAATAGAATTGAAGGGTAAAAATTTTGGCTTTCATTTCTTAAATGAAATTTTCAAAAAGAGAAGGAAAGTTGCACTGAATAAATTTTACTTGCGTATAGATCTTAATTGAACAGGTTCTAAATTCGGTTTATAAAATCCAGCAAAATTTTTGGGACAACAATATTGTAGGTACCTCTTTGCATCCCACACTCCATGTAATTTACTAAACATAACAATTTTCTCTTTACAAATTTAAGTATGCAATTTAACTGATTCTAACTGCACTCGTGGACGAGCGATAGAGCAGGGAGTTCTTAGAAATTGCGTTTTGAAAAAGAATGTGTGATATCGAGTGAGGGACCGTTTCCAAAAAAGTCAAAATCATTGAAAACAGAAGGACAAATTGTAGCTAAGCAGCGATGAAGATGAAGAGCTGAATAAATTGAGACAAAAGGAGCTGGCATGTAGCTATCATTTTTCTCATTTTTCGCTTTTCGCTGCAATTTTTCAATCGTTAATTCTACAAATTTTTTTATTTATTCGAAAAAGTTATACAAATCAGAGCAGAATTATGCGAACAGGTTACACTGCATCGGAAAAAAAGAACTGAATAACGTTGCTCTGGCCCGGCAACAAGTGCATGTGCGCCTTTTGGCTCTTTTTATAGAATGTTCAAGGCATCTGCAACAAAGAGATGCCTTCGGCTGCTTGAAGTTTATTCAAATATCTCTCGCCGCTTCCTTATCATACTGACAATTTCGACTATCTGTCTGATTTGCATTCAAAATTATTTATACTTTTGTAAACACTTATACCGCCAAGACTAAGAATCTTGGAGAATTGGCGGCTTTCAGTAAACAGCACTTTTATTCGTCAACCTACTGAAACGACTTATGAAAGCAAATGGCTCAGACTTTACTACCTGAGAAACTTTTTTGCACTTAGGTAAATCAACCGTAACCATTAATTTGACCAGTTTTGGCGCAGGAATTCGAAAGCTGCGTCTTTAATACACTTCTCCAGCAATTTTTTACTCAAGTTTTGCTTAGAATCTTACTTGATAGATTATTAATAGAACATTTATAAGTTCATAGATCAATTTGGAGCATCATCCTCGAATTTGTGGCTTCAAAATTTATGATCCTGTTTTTTTTTCGTGGATTTTCAAGCGCTTGTGAGAAAGTGCATTGCTATAAATTGATAAAAGCGAGGAAAATTACCAAAATTTTTAGAGAATTTTTTGACGCTTCAAGAAGAGATCTGCGAAATTAATCAGGATTAGAAAGATATGCTGTTTGAATATTTTTATTGTGAGAATTACAGTTCACATAAACATACCTAACTTGTTGCTGTTTCATTTTCTTCTGTACAAACCAATCTGCTCATCTTTTTTGGATGACTTTCAGTCACAGAACCGCACTGTCGAGAATGCGGTATGTATAAAAATCCATGACAATGTTTTTGAATCTCAACGTTTTTTAAGTGTTTAGAATTTCAGCTTTCGATCTATAATTCTCTCCAAAGCGACGTTTGCGGTTTTTATCTTGACAGCAAGAAAAAATGCTTATACAATCGAAGGTGTTGCTGCGTTTCAGCTCCTTCTCATTCTTGGAATTTGGCAAGGAATTTTCTATATCATTTCATCAGTGAATTGGCATAATGTGAAACTTTTTTGCTAAGGAGTAGTGCCTAAGAGATTTCTTTCTCCTACACACTTTCTCGACCATCAATCTTAGAGTTTTTATCATTTTACGAGTTTGCTTACTCACTCACTTTTTATTTCACCAAGATTCTGATTCATAATATGGCTAAGCATAACAATCAACCCTGGTTCTATTTTCCTAGATTTTCGGTCATTTTTAAACTCGTAGAGGTTTTTCCAACATTTGACCTATTTTCTAGGTGTTTGCTTTCCTCCACTGTTTGCTTAATATCAAGAAAAGAGGGCTGCAACAATTTCCTGTACTTTGTTCACTATCGACACGAAATTTTCAACATTTCCCAGCTGCAGTAACGAGCGAGTGAAACAGTTGTAATCCAGAAGTTTTCTAGGCAAAGAAGAAGTTCCGCTTTTCAATCAGAGCGCTGCAACTTTACAACAAGGTCGTTTCTAATTGCGATCACCGCGAGGGGCGCTCCCAGGCAAACACCTGTCCCAACGCGCATCGCCACACTAGCACATATACACACTGACCATGATTCACTTAATGAGAAAGATAAGGAATGGTCTTGTGCTTTTGATTTTAAAAAAGACGAGGGGGGAGGAGAACGCAACGGGTTTGACAAGGGCCCAGGGAGGAACTCACGAGCTTGGGTACTTTATAAAGATCAGGGGTAGCACTTATGGGGGGGGGGGAGAGAGATCATCAAGCTTTGAAGAGGTAAATCGTCACTGTATAAGTGGGAATTCCTCCCCCCCCCCTCCCCAGAAGGAAGGACCTGAACTCGGAAAACTAGGGAAAGAAGAGATCTTGCGCCGCTTCCGCCGCAGATTTGCACTTCGGCGCGCTGGCCTAGAATCAAAGAACGGCGGGCCCCGTTGCGCGGTACCATAACAGTTGGCTCGCCGAGACCTTTGCGAAAACTCTGAGCAGTACCAACGAACGTCTCCACCACACTGACTGACAGACGTATGTTCTGGTGTGGTGTAGAAAGAGGCAGAGCCCGTTCGCTCATCGTCCTTTGACTGGGCGAGAGGGGAGATGCACAGCCGCCACGCGCGCTGTAACAATACCGCCGGCGCTGACGATTGCCTTAGAGCCGTTCTCGATTCGCGAGCCCCGACACAATTTATAAGCTGATCAGCCTAGATATCGATTTATTGATCCGAAATCACTAATGTTTTCGCTTTGCCGGTACTAACATCATCCCCGCTCGTTACACCATCTCTGCTTCTTCAGCGGCTCACACTCAAACTCTCTTCAACAACTTTACTTTTTCCCTAAAAACGTAATTTTCCTCCTATTTTTGAGCCAATCAATGGATCGATGGATGTTTTAGCAAGGTTCTCTCAATGATGCCTTTTTTGCTGAACCTGAACAGGTCCTTCACTTCCTTCCACAACTATTTGTCATAGAGCTACGTGACCGTAGCGCCGCTGACCACATGCCGAACTGCGTGAAGCGCGCGATTCA